GTGATTTACCGGTAAAAGTACTCGATTGAAATATATTTATTCCACGACCGATTTCGGCCACGGCGACCTCTTCAACTCCGATCCTGTCGTTGGTGTGCTCGAGCATGGCTAACGAAGCCGATCTTATTTTTACAAATGTTCGCGCGCAATGCGGGCAGGTGAGCACACCGTTACAGAAATTGTAGTTAATCGCACAAGGTGGGCGTGCTTTGAGTTCATCACGTCGGGCAACCAATTAAGAGCAGCGATTCTCCTCAAACATTTTGACCTTTGCTTTCACCAAAGACTTCCACTCCGGTCGTCGAGCGGCAGCTTGCTCCCACTCTAAAGGTTCAATGTCGCACTTCTTCATGTGGCGCTTAATTACAAGTCTTTGTACCTGAGGAGTTGTCCGCCATGCTTACGCTTGCCCTTCTCAAGTTCAGAGAAAAAGATGCACTTTGCCGTACGCTGGTCTGACATTCGCGATAAGTGTCCACACCAACGGAGTTGTCGCTCCATAAGGTAGGCCTCAATCCCCATGGTATGGGCTCTACGCAGCACTTCCGTGTTTCGAGTGCGATCAGACCAACGGATGTTGAGAATTTTGCGCAGATATTGCAAGTGGAAGCGATCCAGCGTCCGTATGTGACGGCGGTAAACTGTCCATGACTCTGAAGAGTACAATATGTTAGGCAGCACTACCCCTTTATAAATGTCAATTTTAGTAGCCAGCTTTCATGTGAACCAAAGACCTTGCGATCCAGTTTACCGAATACCGCAGCAGCGGCACCGATCCAACTGTTGATTTCAGCATCAAGGTCGCAATTTGATGTTATCGTGCTCCCCAGATAACGAAATGTATAGATTTGCTTAAGTATGTCATCACCGAGTTTGATGGCAAGTGTCTCTTGACCGTAGCCATCAAAGACATCACTTACGTTTTTTTAACACTTATCTTTAGACCAAAACTACGGCACGACTCATGAGAGGTGGTCACGAGCTGTTGCAGGCCAGCTGAGGAATCAGTCACAAAACATAGAACATCTGCGTAGACGATCTTTGTAATAAGTGCGTAAGACACTTTCGTACGGGCCTTAAGTCTGTCTAAGCTGAAAAGATTGCCATCATTGCGTAAACGAATGCGGATTCCTTCAGGGGTAGTTTCTAAGACTTCATGGACTACAACTGCAAAGTATAACGCGAAAAGTGTGGGTTCAAGGACACACCCTTGTTTTACCCCACAGGTAACGGGAAAAAATTCTCACTGATCAGCGTTTATTATGACGCAGCTCAGCATGTCGTCATGCGGGAGTCTCATAAGTCTCACGAACTTCTCCGTGCATCCAATTTTCCGCAGCACTATCCAGAAGGCTTCTCGCGGTATACAATCGAATGCTTTCTCAAGGTCTACAAAACAGAGATACATATTACGACCCTGTTCTCTGCTTTTTTCCTGCAGTTGACGCAATGAGAAAATCGCCTCACAAGTACCACGGTCTGGTCGAAAGCCGAACTATGATTCCGGCAAAATCCTTTCAGAAAGTTTCCTGAGGCGGTTTAATAGAAGTCTGGCAAAGATTTTTCCAGGCACAGAAAGTAGAGAAATGCCACGGTAAGAATTGCAGTTCGACCGGTCACACTTGCCCTTACATAGGTCTCGTATGAGGGATGCCTTAAAAGTATTAGGAACTTGTTCTTACATAATACATAATATAAACACTCACGCCTGTCACCCAGAGGGGTAGGCAGAGACTATGGACTTCCATTAGGCACGATCCTGACATACCTCTTTCGCCTCCTTTACATCCATATATCTACGCATACATGCTCGTCGGTTAAGGGTACTTCTAACGTGGCCCCTTTTCAAAATATCGCCAACTTGGTCGATAAACTTATTTCTAGGGCGTCCCTTCCCGACTCGGCCGTTCACATCTGCCATATAAATTTGCTTTGTCACTCTTTCCTCATTCATTCTTTCTACATGACCAAACCACCGAAGCATTCCTTTCTTAATCCTGGTCACAACATCATCTTGCATACCACATTTATCTCTTATCACGCTATTTCTCACCCTGTCATTCAGATTCAACCCTGGCATACTCCTTAAAGACCGCATTTCTACAGCATTTATTCTACTTTCGTGCTTCTTCTGCCACACCCAGCTTTCACTACCATACATTAAAGTAGGGACTAACACAGCATTATGAATTACCATACGTGCCTTTTTTGACACATTCTGGTTCTTCATAATAGAGTATAGTGCCCCATTCACTCTATTCCCTGCATTTACTCGTCGTTCTATATCCCTATCATATCTACCATCCCTGCTAAATACACATCCCAAATACACAAACTCATCCACTTGCTCAGTTAACTCTCCTTCTATTCTTATTTCACATACCGTTTTGCTTTCTTCTCTTTCAAAAACCATCACTTTCGTCTCACTTGCGTTCACTTTCATTCCCCTTTCTTTTAATTCCCAGTTCATTAATGTAACCATTATTTGCAACTCAGCCGCCGATGACGCAAATGACTTGATCATCGGCATACAAAAGGCATTTGACGGTTAACTCGCCCATTCTTAACCCACATTCTTCATCTTTCAAAGTTTGCAAACACCTGTCCATAAATAGGTTGAACAGCCAAGGGGAAACTACACAGCCCTGTCTGACACCTTTTTGGATGCCAAACCAGTCCGAGTTGACCCCATTGATCCTGACACAAGCACTAGAGTCCCTATAAAGAGACCTTAATGCCCGTATCAAACCAGCGCTCAACCCATATGAGTTCAGTGTTTGCCATAACACATTCCTGTCCACTCTGTCATAAGCCTTTTCCAAGTCCATGAACGCACAAAAAACTTTCTGGTTTTTGGCCAAAAACTTCTCCGCAATCATGCGCATGGAAAAGACTTGATCTGTACACCCCATTCCCTTTCTAAAACCCGCTTGCACATCCCAAATTTTTCCATCAGTTTCTTTTATAACTCTTTCAATTAACACCTTAGCATACAGTTTACCCGCAATACTAAGCTGATACCACGGTAGTTTTTGCAGTCCTGCTGTGACCCTTTTCCTTTATATATTGGTACTATAACTGCTTTACACCAGTCATCCGGTACCCGTTTTAATTCCCAACATAAATTAAACAAGGTGTACAGCAGGCCTGCCACCACTCCCTCTCCAGCCCTTAGCATCTCGAGTGATACTCTATCATATCCAGCTGCCTTACCTGCTTTCATGCTTTTCATTGCTTTCATTATTTCATCTACACTTATCTCCATAACACTTTCTACTTCTTTCGGAATTTCTAGTTCATTTAATTCAGACGACTCTTCACTCATAAACACGCTTTCAAAGTATTCCTTCCATCTGTTTAAATTCGAAACTTCATCATTCAGAATACATACATTCTCGTCTCTTATAGCATTCATTATAGGCTGTTTTGTATTTCCCCTGGCAGTTCCTACGAGTTTCCAGAACATTTTTATGTTAGCCTGGAAATTATCAGATATCCTTCTATCATTCTTATCCGTTCTTTCTTTCTTTTTCCTTTCAACAACTTCTTTTACTCTCTTATTTAGAGGTCTAAATTCTGCCTTTTTTCTTTCAATGTCATCATTCATACCAGAAGAATTACCAGCTTTGGTTGCTAGTAAATCTTACCATGCTTTCTTCTTTGATTCAACTTCCACCCTTACCTCATCATCCCACCACAACGTATTACTTTTCCTTTCATTTGTTCTCTTACTTACACCACATACTTCGGTGGCGGCATCAACCAAACCTTTCTTAATATTATCCCACACAGTATTCAAGTCTAAATCATTCATACACAACTCGTTCAAACATCTAATATTTCCTCTCAGTCTACATTTATACTTGTCTTTCACATCTTCATTTTGTAACTTCTCTATTCTTATACGCTGTAACACAGTGGTAGACACAGATGTCCGATGCCGTCAACGCTTGAATAGACCATTAATTCGACATAAGACTAAGTAATGATCCGTCCCTACGTTGGACCTCCGGTAAACCCTTGTATCTACGACTGCGCTCATCATTTTTTCATCCACAATTACGAAATCTATCATGCTTCTATTTTCACCTCTTTCCCATGTATACATGTGAATCTTATTATGACGAAGAAAAGTATTCGTCACAAAAAGATTCTTTTCCACACATACGGTGAGGAGGTCTTCACCATTTTCATTTATACTTTCATCACCAAACGTTCCCAATATCCTTTCATAACCAGACCTCTTCACCTCAACCCTTCCATTAAAGTCTCCTAACATAATAATATTTTCATTTTCCTTACATTTTGTCAACACCATCCTTACCATGTCCCAAAACTGCTCTCGGATGTAAGTGGGCTTAGACATGTCTAGGACGTACACCCCTAGCAGGAACAGCTTCTTTAAGCCCACTTTCATTTCGTATCCATAGCAGCCTCGGGCTTACACATTCATATTCTTTCACACATTGACCCATTCTTTCTGAAAGGATGTAACCGACTCCCTGGCATGCCCGTTCGGTCTCGTCTACACCAGACCAATACGCGGTATACGTGCCATGTGCAGTGGCATCCTTTCCCTTTCGTTTCGTCTCATTCACACATAACACATCTATTCCTCTGTCATTCATCATTTCGCATACTTCATCCATCTTATCATTCATTCCTCCACATACATTCAGCGTATCCAGACGGGTTTCCGCAATCCACTTTTCGTCCCTCCGGGAGACAAAACCTGACGGGTGGCGAACCTCGTCGCCGGTTTTTCTCCCGGAGATTCTTCGCACCCCTGCCCCATTAAAGGGGCGCCGGGAACTCGGGGCCATTTCTTTTATTTTCTGAGTCATGGTGCGAACAAGGTGTGGTGGTAGATTTTACGCCGCTACCTACCGGCGAGGAGCCGAGTCTATTTTTTCAGCTTTGTCGCTCGTTTAGCACCACCCGGGGGACACGTGTAGGGTAGGCCTAAGGTTAGGTGGTCGAAGCCTACGGACGCGAGCGACTCATCCCCCAACTTGTTCTTTTTCCCACATAACGACAAAAAGTTCCCATATCGCCGAATACAAATCCCCACCGCCATACTTCAATAATTCACCCGGTATAAAATCAACACCAACCGCGCGTTTATTTTGCTGTTGCTTAATGGCAAGAGCAACCTCGTCAGGCGAGACTGGCTTATCGAGCTCGAGGGCGAAAGGTTGCTGAGGTAGGCAGCGAACATGGTCTAGGTCAACAACATGATCCATGTTAAGTAGGGTGTTGAAATGCTCCGCCCGTCGCTCGAGTATTTCCTTCCTACTTTTAAAAAGCGCTTCACCACTAGTTGAATTCAGTGGAACTTTTGCCATTGTGGACGTACCGAGTAGATGTTGCACCTCAGAATAAAACTCACCGCGCTGGTTGGTATCAGCGAGCCACTGCATCTGACGAGCCTTCTCCTGCCACCACTTATCTTTCGCTTGTTGTGCGAGTTTACGCAGCTCCAGATCACTATGACGCAACTCCTTAACACTAACACTCTGATGAGTTTTACTGTGCTGCTTTAGGAGCCTACGGTGTTTATCAATAGCGTTCGTAAGTACCTCATCATTATCATCAAACCAGTCCTCATGTTTTCGAACTCTCAAACCTAAAGTAGATTTAGCAGTGTCGAGAACATGAGGAGATAGAGACTCCCAGACAGTATTGATCTCACTTGATTTTGGGTCGAGGGGCTGCAGAACAGTGCTCAATGTTTCGGCATATTTAGCCCTCGTGTTAGTATCTTGGAATCGTTCAAGGTTCAGACGTATCTGTTTAGATCTTTCAGATCTACAAGGACGTGGAAGACGAAGATTTAATTTAATAACAACAAGCCTGTGATCAGTCCAACAGTGAGCACCACGCATGACACGGGTGACTAGGACTTGAGAGATGTCTTTTTGACGCACGATAGCGTAATCGATAAGGTGCCAATGCTTCGATCTGGGATGCATCCACGTTGCCTTGTACTTGGCAGGTAATCTGAACATAGTATTTGTAATTGCAAGATGTAATTGTGCACAAAAACTAAGCAAGAGTTGGCCGCTGCTGTTAATTTTACCAACACCATGTCTGGCCAGAACTTTAGGCCAGGCGTCATAATCTCGTCCTACTCGGGCATTAAAGTCGCCCAAGAGATGGATTTGCTCCCTTGGACGGATACGATCTATGTACCGCGTCAATTCTTCGTAAAATTTATCCTTAATTTCATCAGACTTGTCTAGCGTAGGGGCATAGACACTGATGACATTAAGATAGTTTTCATGTCCCATGTAAAGGCGCAATGTGGTAATGCGGTCCGAGATCTGTACAGAGTATTCTTGTAGTTGAGCAGCAAGGTAGTTCTTGACAGCGAAACCTACACCAGACCTTCGCGGCTCTGAGGAAGCGAGTCCTTTCCAAAAGAAAGTATACCCGCCGCCGTATCCTACCAGCTCTCCTTCATCGGGGAGGTGTGTTTCGCTGAGTGCAGCCACATCAGTATTATAGCGACTTAGTTCCCGAGCTACGATGGCAGTTTTCCGCTCAGGACAGGCATTTTCTTCGCGGTCAAGAAGTGTGCGCATATTCCACACGCCAAATGTCATTGATCTTGATAAATTAAAATTTTCATAATTTTTTCTGTGGCGTCGACCGCAGATTTGTGATGCGGAGGCAGCCGTTTTTGGGTTTTAAAACATACATAGGTTTAATTCGCATTCTTCTTTCAATTTTTAGTAGTTTTTGTCTCTACTCTATCTATTATAGTTAAGTAGCTATGTGGGTTTTATTATACAACATGCAAGCGCGGTAGCGGCCGAATTAGGGCCACGCGTATCCGGACGTATAAGGGTAAATCAGTCACGAATGTTGGACGCTGGAGCGGTTAGCAAAGTGTAGTTTGCTAAACAAAAAAACCGGCACGGAGAAAGGGACAAATAATCACACCGCTCTATCTCATTTCTATGCAAGACATATGCATAAATCTATCTTTTTCGTGTGCGAATGCGAAAGAAGGCGTCAATTTGTCTATAGGTTTCTCTGTCTATGGGTAGTAATGTGCTTACTGATAGTCTGTGGCTATGTGGGTGGTTGGTTGTTGTTTGAAAGTGTTTGGAAGTATAAAGTTTTATGTATTAGTAAGATTACATTTAATTATAAGCTTTACTTTGTAATTATAACATTTACTTGGTAATTTTTAAATTGTACATGTTAAATGGGAAGCCATTAAACTTTTTCTGTGAAAGAGGAGTTGAGGAAGCTGAAGGTAGCACGGGGACAATGCAAAGGAATTATAACAAAAATGCAAACATTTGTGTGAGATGAGGATGCAAAAATAAAAGATATTGAAACATTAAAAGTAAAAAGAAATCGAATAATAGAAGCTTTTTACAAATACAAAAAATACAATATTGAGGTTAGGGTATTAGATCATGACTCTGATACAGACAATTTCGACGGAGATGATGATACATATTGATCAGTAATGGTAGTACAGTTGACCCTTGGTAATCCATCAAATGTTTTGCATGGCCGTGTTGGATTATCAAAATTGTCGGACTATATATTGGGCTATATGTCAGACTGTCACAGCCCCCTCCTAGTCTGGAACATTTAAAAAATTCCTTGTAATCTAAATCTAAAACAAATAATAAAAATGAAATTTGATGCACAAAACAGTAAAATAAATAATGTATGCCTGCGAGGCTGCTACCATCCCTCGGTATCCGACAAATGTTTTTCATGGCCGTGTCGGATTATTAAAATTGTCGGACTATTGGGTATTGTCACAGCCTCCTGCTAGTCCGGAACATTTAAAAAAATACCTTGTAATATAAATCTAAACTAAAATAATAAAAATAAAATGGAATGTGATGCACAAAACAGTAAAATAAATAATGTATGCCTGCGAGGCTGCTACCATCCCTCGGTATCCGACAAATGTTTTGCATGGCCGTGTCGGATTATCAAAATTGTCGGACTATAGGATATTGTCACAGCCTCCTGCTAGTCCGGAACATTTAAAAAAATACCTTGTAATATAAATCTAAACTAAAATAATAAAAATAAAATGCAATGTGATGCCCAGAACAGTAAAATAAATAATGTATGCCTGCGAGGCTGCTCTCATAGTCACATTTAAACTGAGACAATATATGTCAAGCTAGATTTGTGGTGACATGAACTACTTACACCTCCACCTATGGATTTCCGGGGACCACTGTATTAAATTCCTTTATTAATGCATTGCACCCTGGTTTATCGTAGACTTGACACCCTTGGAAGCTCTTTCCACATGTGTACCTAAATAGAAAAGAAAATAACTTTCAGTGCCTACTGTATATCAATATAAAATGTTAATTGAGATATAAGTGAGTGTATACTACATTTTTGTTATTAGAAAATTCAGCAGCATTTTTTTAACAAACATTCTTGAAATACGCATTTGGACACTTAGCCAATAACAAAATTTCCCAATATGCTGACTGCTGAATAATACTTGTCAAAGAATCCATTTACACAATAAAATTGTAACTTAATATAATATTAATAATATGTTATATACAATTGCAGTATAGTATTCTATATTTGAAGGGTATGGGCAAACTACAGGGAACGTCCTACTGAATAAATTATGAGTAAAAAGCAATCCAAAGCTTAGAAGTTATAATATTACTAATGACTAATTATTACGCATAATTATTTTAAAATTAGACTTTTCAATTATTAACGTAAACTAAAATAAGAAAAAATAAATGAATGAAACCAACTTACAAAAAGTTGAAACAAGGAATGTCCTTAGCTTCACAAGCATAACAAACAAGGAATGTAAAATTTAGTCATCAGCATCTTTAGTTTTTTTAATCATATTTTAGTGTTTCATAAAATGCTCTTGCACAAAACATCAGGCTCATCAAATCTCTGTATTTTACTGCATTTATGGATAAAAACTTTATATACAAAATCAGGAAGCTCACTCAATGTTAGTGACATGATTACAACAATTACTTAGAGTCTTCGTTTTCTCCCAAGTCTCATAGTAATTTTCTCTGTGCAGTATCACAGGACCTACCATTTACCATTACCATTTTTATAGTACTGAAAATATAAACATGCGGATGGAAATGCTACGGCTGGGAATGCGGCGCCACTAATTGCGCAGCAAACTGCATATGTGGATGCTGCCGTCAATATTCCATTTGTGGTTAATTCAGACGATGATGGAATAGTCCTCCACGAACTAGAGAAAATGAGGAGCGTATTGGAAGAGTCGATACTGGAAACGCGCAGCATGCCTCACGGAAATCGACCGCGACTTCGCCGCATACTCCTTAGCAAGCGAAATCGGGCTGTCGTGCGGGCTCTTAATCCAATGCTGGTGATCTATATGGAAGCCAGCCGGGATATTTGCGAGACAGACTCAATTCTTTTTGGCGCCGCACTGGCAGTATGCCGTATTATTGGCGCCAAACTTCCCATGGCTAGACGTGCTACTCTACAAAGTAGCGCCATCCCAGCCTGGAAAAGAAGAATTGAGGACCGTATCGCAAAGGCAAGGGCCCTTATCGGCAGACTGACAAGCTTCAGGTCGGGTAATAATAGACTGAGAGTTATGCGCACCATTAGAATGGCGTTTAATGGGACAAATATTAGTTTGTCCCAGCCGGATATCACGCAGAAACTAACGGAGCGCATAGATGAGCTGAAGCAAAAAATCGCTGCTTGGGGGAAGCGGATTCGACGATTTAGCGAGAGGTCAAGGCGGTTCAACCAGAATCCTCTCTTCCAGAGTGATCAGAAGAGGCTCTATAAATCATTGGAGCGACTCAGCGTTGCCATTTATACGGCAATTGCCGTGTTACACGGCAATTTAGGTCTATTCAACAATAAAACACGGTACACGGCAGCATATTATCAATCCACTGGTTACAATTTTTTTTTCGAAAATTTAAACGGTAGTCGATAAGTCATTATAACGCACATCACTAGATTATACTAGACGTAGTCATGACTCCATAAGCGGGGAAATACCGACGCAAATTCAACACATTATGTACATTCGCGCATACTTCATGGTTTATGGTATTCATTTCTGCTTTCGTTTTTTGAAAAGGTACATTAAAAGATATACTGCTGTTTATTTACCTTATTTAACTGTACTAGCTAATCACTGTATCCGATCCCAAGGAAATTGTGTAAATTTCAAACCGACAAAACAAATGATAGACAATATGAAGGAAAATAATAAATATAAATTGAACAAATAGGAAGAAGAAGTTTTGGATACGATAAGAGATTTGTATGTTTTTATGTCATGTTTAATCCTACGTGTTAATTTAAAATAAATAAAAATATACACGGCAATTTTCTAGTTTTTATTCCAAAACACGGCAATCTAGATCCCAAAACACGGCAACTTAATATTTCGAAATGGCAACCCTGGTAAGTAGTAACTTTTTTCAAAATCAAAAAAATTTCAAATACGTCAGGACTCCTTCTATTATAGTTTTAAGTGTATAATATTAATAAATCTTAGTGTAATAATGTCATCAGATAAACATTGTTGTGTTCCTGGGTGTACAGAAAATCAAGGTAATCCGTTAAGATACTACGTCTTATGATTATTTTCATATCATTATTATATGTCGTCGGTCCAGATGAATAGGGTATTATCTCAAAAACAGTGATTTTTCAGGAGAGCATTTTTTAAGTTTCATCCAGGAATAATTTAGCCTTTATTATTATTTAGCCGACTTGACCTATATACGTTTTAAGCCTAAATATTTGACAATATTTCGCAATTTTGTGTACTTATATTTAGTTAAGTGGTTTTGAGAAAATCCTGAAATGATTCAGATAGGTGTATAATAATACTCTTTATGACATAAAATATTTGTAAAACAAAGTTTTAACTCAAAATTATTTCTATTAAATTGAATTCTGGGGTTCCATTACTATATCCATATATTTTTTGTGAAATGTGATGTAATTAGGAATTATTTTAGCGTTAGTATTTATTTTCACATTAATAATTTGATTATTATGTTTTGAAAAAAAAATCTATTATATTACCTTGTTTCTTAAATTTTTAGTACTAGTACAAAGATAATACCGAATGAAAACCAAAATATTGTTATAAAAAGTCTTTATTGTTTCGTAAAAATTATATTACTCGTGGTAATCTTAAGAATCGATACAATAACCAAATTTCTTGACACCATGTCTTTCTGTATTATTAATATTTTATCGTGATTGAGATTGGTGGAGTAACTAACAGGAATCAGTTAAACAATACCATTAATATTATTTTATATAAAGATTATCGAAAACTATGAAAAGAAAACAACAAAATTAAATACTCGTAGTTATTATAAAATGAACTCTTTTCACCATTAACATTACTTACAATAATAGGAATCAGTACAATATGCTTTGCATCATTAATCTTACACTAAAATACCGAATATCAAACAAAGAAAACATAACTACCACATAAAATAATTATTATAAATTCAACATTATGTAACTCTTCATAATCACAAAAAACGCTTATAACAGTCTTTCACAGTAGAATATGTATTATCTTCAAAATTAGCTCGCAATATGA